CACAGACCCATCACTTGTCTTAACACTACTTACAAGGCGATAACATCTGTAATCAACGATATGCTCAACAAACACGAAGAACGACACCAGCTCATGCAAGTAGATCAACGAGGATGCAAACATGGATCAATGGGTTGCATCGACAACCTCCTCATTGATAAAGCAATTTTGGAGGATGCGCAATCAAATAGAAAGAACATTTCTTGTGTTTGGGTTGACGTAAAGAAGGCATTCGACTCGGTTTCCCATGCTTGGCTCGAGTGGTGTCTAGACCACTACGGACTTGCCAACAAAGATAACAGCGCTTATTAAGAACATCATGAAAAACTGGAGGATCACATTAGATGTACAGACTAAAGATGGAAGAGCCCAAATTGGTCCAATCACACTAAACAGAGGGATCCTACAAGGAGATTCATTCTGCGTACGATTATTTACAATGTGCCTCAATCCCATTGCGTGGAACCTACGAAACAACGAAGGCTACGTCCTCACCAAACTTCCAGAAACTAAAATAACACACTTACTCTATGTAGACGATTTAAAAACMTTCCACAAATCGCCCACTAAGGCAATGGTTGAAACACGAAAGATGGAACAGATKTTCAAAGACATAGGTCTGGAATGGGGACTGGACAAGTGCTCAACAGTAAATGTACAAAGAGGGAAAATAATACCATCTGATGACCTGCCTCTCAATGAAAAAGATTCCATCTCAATGTTGAATGCCGATGACCAATACAAGTTTCTGGGGAAGTTTGAAAACTTTTCCCACCTCGATAAAATGGCATTTGAACACTCAAGCAAAGAATATATAAAGCGATTAAGCGTAATATGGTCCTCCAACATTTCCATCCCTAGGAAAATCAAGGCGGCAAACACCTTTGCCATTCCGATCCTACAATATCATAYGTGGACTGCCGACTGGCTGATAAGTGACCTCAAAGAATTAGACCGTGAAACAAGAAAAATCATGCAAGACAGTGGAGCACTACACACTCAGGAGTCCATCAAGCTCATGTATCTGCCAACCAGCATGGGAGGAAAAGGCYTGAAACAAATTGAAACATTATACAAGCTCACAAAGATCAAAGTGGCAAACTACATTGTTAGAAATCAAGATCAAAGAATACAACTAGTTAGAAAGTTTGAAGAGAAGAAAACTTCCAAGAAGSTTAAGTCAGTCTTGAAGGACGCACAGAAATATGCGGAGGAACTCAACATCAGATGTCAATTTGATCAGACATTAACAACTATGACGTATGAAAACACCACAACTGAGTTCCAAAAACCGGCACCAAGATTACTTACAGCATTTCTAACTAACGCTGTCGTAAATAACCTGAAGAAAGAGGTAGGAAACCAGAACTGGCTTTACTTGGCGCGTTGACGCTATTACAGTATAGGGACAATGACATCTCACCAGACAGTACAGCTATACACTACAAATGGCGTAACATCCCTGATATACTCTATTCTGTGAATTCCAACATACGGCAGCAATTGCTACCAACAAAGGTATACAAGAAAGTCAAATTACAGCAATCAAACCAAGATACAACTTGCAGAATGTGTGAACAAACCCAAGAATCCACGACCCACATCATGTGCGGGTGCGCAACAACGGCCCAAAGCTTATATAAGTCACGACATGATAAAATGCTAAGACCATATTATCACTACCTACTCTATAAATATGGATTTGAAAACAATGACCATACAAGACCTTGGTATGAACAGAGCCCACCCGTGGCAGTAGTCGAGAACGAAAGAGCAAAGATTATGTGGGATATAGAGTTCCATCTACCGAGAGCACCTCAAAACCATGCTAACAAAATAGACATGGCAATTAATGACAAGAAAAGGCAAGTGTGGCTGCTGTTAGAGGGAACAGTCTGCGCTGTTGGCAAGATAAAGGAAAGAAGTACTTTNTTTTCGGCTATTCTGATGATGAAGATAATCTCGAGGATAGAAATAATGATGATGTAGATTCTGATTTGGATTTTGAGGGCTTAGAGCCARTTCCTGAGTCCAGTGATAGCGAGGAAAGCGATGGCGAAGAATCAGAGTCCGAAGMCGWAGAACATGAAGAGACATGGACAGACAAACTATCCGCATACGATATTCCTGAGTTTTCTCATCCTGCTGGTTTGCTGGTGGACTTGGGAAACDATCCTAAAGCTGACGACATGTTTTTTTTTATTTTTGGAGAGGAAACTCTTCAAAATATCGTTGCTGAAACGAACAGATATGCCAAACAACAGCTTGCCAACAAAGCCGAACGATTAGCTCGCTGGAAAGACATAACCGCTGTCGAGTTGAAAGCATACTTTGGTATTTGYGTGCTAATGGGCATCAATACTCTACCAAAAATGGCAGATTACTGGTCAACCGATCCTTGCCTTGCGAACACTGTAATAAAATCTGTGATGGCAAGAAACAGATTTCAAGAAATCACGCAGTTCTTGCAWTTCAACGACAGCACAAAAACACCACCACGTGGCGACGCCAACTATGACCGTCTCTACAAAATAAGGCCGATCATAAATACGGTCCTTAAGAACTCTCAACGTTGCTACTCGCCCAAAAAAGCAATAGCCGTTGATGAAGGAATGATCGCCTTTAAAGGCAGGCTTTCATTTCGGCAGTACATGCCAGCCAAGCCAACGAAATACGGCATCAAAGTTTGGATGGCCGCCGACTCTACCAATGGCTATGTCATAAACTTTGAAATCTACATGGGAAGCAGCGAGAAGCTTGTCCACGGGCTGGGATATAACGTCGTTATGAACATGGTCAAGCCATATTTAAATCGGAATCACCGAGTATATTTTGATAATTTCTTTTCCAGTACTAGACTTTTAGAACATTTACAGTCGCAAGACACTTATGCTTGTTCTAMGGTGAGAGTCAACAGGAAGGACTTGCCGCCATGCACTACGACCAAGCTCCGCCAAGGTGAACTTGTCCAAGCGCAAAAGGGCAAGATACTATTCACTAAATGGCATGACAAGCGAGATGTCTCCTTCCTCTCTACCACCGTATCTCCAACTGCACCTTCAAGACTTGTTCCACGCTCGAAAAAGAACGTAAACTTCGAAATACTGAAGCCGCGTGTGTCTGACGACTACACGCAAAACATGGGTGGTGTTGATCGTGCCGATCAACTTCGGTCRTACTATTATGTTGGCAGACAGTCCCGCAAATGGTATAAATATATCTTTTGGTTCTTTTTCAATCTTTCTGCCTGTAATTCTTACGTCTTGGAGTGCGAACGCCGGGGAAGAAGCAAGCGCCCACAGGTAGAATTTCGACTTGAACTTGCCAAGCGACTCATCAATGGCTACTGTAGTCGAAAGCGAACACACAATCCAGCTAATGCTGCTGTCCCTGAACATCTTCNCAAGAATGGTAATAATTATCATAAAATTAATCACATATCATTTTAAACCTTAACATTAACAAACAGTAAAGAAATAAAGCATTATGCACTTCCAAAACCTGTGCAGTTGTCACACGCCTCCTCCACCTTTTCCATGAACTCTTCAAAAGAGTTGTGCGTTGTCGGAGATTCAAGGCACAGGTTTCAGCAAAAAATGACTTGCTCCATCCGACAAACTCTACATCTATCTTTTTCTCTAAGCCAAGTGGTGGAAGTTTGGTAAGCCCAGTCATATAATGTAAAAACCTGCCCAATCCAGTACTACCATGATCTTTGAAAAGAAAAAAAAAGGAAAGATAGGACTTTGAGATTTATATCCATGACAAAAAGATGTACAGATAATGTCATTCAGTCTTATGTGCGATCTGATTGGTCAGATCTTGCTTTTTATTATCTTAAAGAAATATATTGCATTTTTCCAGACGTCCTGTACTCTAAAAGATGCAAAGAAGAGGTCAAAATGTGGTGAGAACAAAAGTCACGCACTGGACGGCGTCTYATTCATACTTTTTGTTCTCACCATATTTTGACGTCATCTGTGCATCTATTAAAGTACAGATGCACAGAAAAATGCAAACTATTTCTTAAATACATACSTTCTTCAATTTTCTTGATACTTCTAAGCAGAAAGTTATAAGACTTTTCCTCTTGTTCATTTGGAATTGCTGCAAGTTGTGCTATTAAATCCTCACTTGTTAGTGTAGTTGACTCTGATGCTATAAAGTATTTCTTCATCAGTTGTGGGTGATCTCTTATGAGGGATAGAATGCCCARGGTACCTAGGCCCTTGATGAACTGGTCCAGCGGCTCTTTTCTCTTTATAATTGTGGAGTGAATAAGTAGGSTYTGCATGGCAAGGCTTTTGTTTTCCATATTGAGGTCATTCAAAAATMCAGCATTTACTAATCCATCAATTAGCAAGCTATCCTTTTTGATTTCCTGTAACTCTTCTGTTGATGAAGCTGCAATTACCTGATTACAATAGAGTGCAAAATACTGGTCATATAATAAGTATGCGTAGTACATTTGGCGCATATTAAGTAGATGAAAAATGTTTTGAGGGATACAAAAATTAAAATTGATAATACCTTCTCAGTTAATTCTTTAATCTCGTATTCGCAGAGATCATCCACACTGCAGCAGTTTGATGCATGTTCCAAGGACCCACTGACTATGTACTCATAAACGCAAGGGCTAAGACAAGGTATACCAATGTCCAAGTGCACAATTGAGTATGCCACCATTTTTCCAGCCACTTGGAACAATCGTGATTGAAGTCCTTCCATTGAGTACATTGGGACTTTCCTGTCTTCTTTACCCTCAAATAGTTTAGCATCAGAGGAAAACATGCACTTCAGGAGAAGGGTGCCATATTCTTTCCTTAAACCTCCAGCGTCTATCCCATTTTCACCTTCAAATGTTACCATTGGTAAAGATGTCGTTTTCAACATTGGGTTTTTAA